AAAAACCTGCACTGTTCTGTACCGTCCTCACAACTGCAGCTATGTTTGACCCCATTGTTGAGGCCACTGTATCAGTCCATGTCACTGAAGAGCTTCATCTTTTTTGCTGACACTCTGCCAAGCATCATGTTCTTTCAGTTAACAGCTGAGTACTTGCCCTTTGCACCATTATGGCTTCCCTTGCTTTATTGTTGCTGAGTAGACTCTGACTCCCGTTCAACAGTTCTTAACCTTCACTGACCCTGCATCATTCTCAAAATCTCCGATGTATTTAGATCATATTGTTGCAGCCATTGTATCAATCATCCCCATTGAGGGTCTTCCCCTCCTTTGCCGATCTGTGCCCCCTTTCCAAGCAGGAGGTCCCTTTCCAAGGACTGGCTCTCAAGAGAGCATGCCCAAAAAATGTGAGATAATGTCTCACAATTTTTTTTCTTCCAAGGTGCACTTGTGGCTGCAGTTCTTTCAACCCGGATTTGCTCATTCCTGCAGCATCCACTGCGTATCCAGTCCTCTTCACCAGGGCCACACTTCAGAGTCATCAGTTCTTCTCTACTCTTCTTCATTCAGTGTCCAGCTTTCACATGTACATGAGGTGATTGAAAACACCATGGCTTGGATCCAAGTGCACCATGAAATGTGTTTGTTACCTACACAAGCAAATCTAAAACACAGTGAACCAAAGAAAGGGATAATTTGGATTGAGAAAACAAATTGTGCCTTATCAGTAATCTTCACTGCTCTCTTAGGTCTTGCATGCTGGGCACTTTTTAGACTTTGTCTCTTGTAATACTTCTGTTGACAGTACAGTATTCTATCTTGCAGATGAGGAAATTGAGGCTAATACCTGCCCATGGTCTGAGCTTAGTAACTCATAGCTTTAAAACTTTAGTTCTGCAGGCTGCCATGCTGATTTTGGATTACAAATATTTCTTTCATATGTGCTTTGGCATACCACTAGAATGTTCTGATACTTTTAGAGGATATATAACTATTACTACACCACAGGATTCAGAAGACATTCAACTCCTTATAATAACTGCACAGTTATACTTTCATCCTGTTTTTGGGAAATGGGAACTGAAGCTCAGAGAAGTTAAGTCAGTTTCTCCAGGTACACAGCTACCGGTTGGCAGAACCACAGTCCCAGTTTTAATTCTGCAGCAGGCAGTCTATTCCTAGACAGCTGCACTATGAATAAAAAAAGACTTGGGTTCCTCACTAGGCCCTTGGACTCTCAGCCAGCAAATTCTGGTGAAAAAATATATTTGACTACAAGCTCTTTTTCCAGCCTGTTTCTTCTCTGCTTTCTTAAATCACAGAACATTAACCTGCTCCAGTGACAGGACCTAGGATACAGTTAGACTTTTTCCAGTATTTGCTTTGGATATTTTTTTAAAAGCAAAGATGGTTTTTTTCAGTCTGCTTGAAACATGAGTAATAAGCTCTTCAGTCATAATAATAACATATAACGTGTATAATGCTTGCTGTAGCATTTATAAAGGGCTTTCATATACATTGTCTCAGATGATCCTTTATAGTGTGCTGTGCTTTAGGGTTTATTCAAACTCAAACTCATTGCTGTCTGACCAACTCATAGATGACCCTCCACTACGTTTCTGAGGCTGTAAATTACACAGAAAGAAATTTCCCGTCTTTCTCCCTTGGAGTCGCTGGTGGATTTGAACCACCAGAGAGGTTCAGCTTTTGGATTAGTGGTGCAACTCCTTACGGGTTATGCCACCAATCCATTTTAAAGATTAAGAAAAGGAGAACAGAGAATTTAATATTTTAGTAAACTGTGTGGTTAGTAAATCTGAAACTAGAATGTCTTCTGAATCCTTATTCTAATGTCTTTTGACCCCCTTACCCTTTTTCTAATGAGCTTTACAATCATAATTAGAAATGCAAGTCTTCCAATGCTCCTTTTCTTCTCATTTCTTTTAAGCCCGGCTCTCAGTTTCTTCAGCAAGGAAAGATGCAGCAGAAAGAGGTGCTTGTTCTATTTGATTAAGAGATAGACTATGTCTTTCTTCTCTTGCCCTCTGTCCCCCACCCATACCATCTTCCTGTACCCATCTATCTTCTTGCTTCTTGAGGAGCTTGTGACCTCCCTTTTCAAAGAGCTTGGTTGTGAGCCTAAGCCAGGAGGAAGTCCATCAGCAAAAGTACCGAGGATGAGTGGGTGATGACCCCTAAAAGAGGTCATTTTGCCTAGACTGTAGAGGGTTCCCCCTACAGGCCATCTGAATAGACTTCAGCCCTTGGGGCCCTTAACTCTTTCAAGGGCCCAATGGCCTTCAAGGAACCTCCTTCAAGGAACCTTACTCTGTTATCCCTTGTGTTGGCATTTGGACCTCCTCATGAAGAATTCTTCAGACTGGACTAAACCCAAGGAAATCACTCTGTAGCTGTAGTAGAGACTGAGAATCAGCCTGATTTAGTTCTCTATATTCTATCCCAGGCTTAAGCAGGGAGACAGAAAGATAGGAATAATTTTGGAATGAGTTTTAGCTCTTACAGTCTGTCTCACCTTTAGTAAGTCACTTAAGCTATCTCAACTTCCCCTTAGTTTTTTAGCAGTAAAATACAGATAATGACCATAGCTGTCTGATGCCATTGAGTCAGAACAGCTCAGAGCTGAACCTCCAGTGGGTTTTCAGAGGCCATCAATTCACAGAAAGAGATTGCCCATCTTTTTCTTGAGGAGCAGCTGCTGGATTCAAACTACTTGCCTTCGGGTTGGAAACCCAGCTTCTCACCACTAAGCTACCTGAGCGCTCTACTTTGCAAGCCTGCTTAGATATGAGGGTCACTCTGAAGGAACATACTAGTCTCTGGAGCTGCCAAGCTTAGCAGTTTTAAAGGACAGAAAGAACCTTTCCTTACTACTCTTGGTGAGAACCAGTGTTACTATTGAGGCTACACCCATCCCTGTAATCTCTCCTTTTTCCTCAGAGAAGCGAGATTGAAACTCAACCATGATTTCACTAGGACATTTCTTCAGACTTGACATTTAGCCAAGAACATGACCCTTATTCTCCCTCCCACTCCTCTTTCCTCTCTCTCTCGTGTCCAACTTCATTTCAAACAACTGAATTGTGCTAGTTGGGTTTTTAATGAGATTTTCCCAGCTTCGTTTTTTGTTTTTTTCCTTTGACCATAAAGAACTCCCAGTTTTTCAAAGCTGAAAATAAGATTTGGCCAGAATTAAGCCAAGAGTAAAGTCTCATTGGTGTTGATATTTTTAAGCCTCTCTTTTAAAAAAGAGAAAGTAAGGATTTGTCATAGAATAAATATCTGAGAACCCGAGGGTGAGGACTTTACATCTTTCCCTGAAAACAAGGCGCCTTCCTTCTTTTCAGGGAGAGCTGTGGCTATTTTGATGCCTTTTGAAAGCACCACAATTTATTTGATTGAGCTGCTAAGTTAAAAAAAAATAAATTTTTTTTAAAGGATAATGGTCACATGGATTTAGCATCACATGGGGAAATTCGCTGTAACCCAGCAGTCTTTTAGGCAGCTGATGACCACGGGCCAGATTGTTCACTTCACAAAGGGGAGTCTTTTAAAGATGAGAAGACTTTTGTCTGAGCCCAAATTTCCCTGGGGGGAAGGACACATTTATAACCCATTCTGATTTTTTTTTCCTCTTATAGTTCACGGATTAAATGTGAACGCATGTGGAGCTCTCTGAGACTCCATGGAAGTCGTGCAGAAGGGACTAGATATGGGCAGTATAAGGGCTGGGTTCCAGTCTCAGCTCAGCTAAGGCATCCCCCCCCGCCCCCCCAGGAAGCTGTAGAAGGAGTGGCCCTGAACTGCCTTGGAGTCTACTTTTCTACTCTGTAAACTGGTGGATTAGAGGTAATGGCACTGCCAACACAACGATACTCAGTCCTAATCCACCAGGTGCTCTGCAGGAAGAAGATGAGCAGTCTCTTAACTGCCTCTGAAAACCTGCAGGAGGGCCAGCTGTGTCTCAGTTCCCACTCAACAGTACACAACAACAACAAAATAAAATGAAAACAGAGGTCCTTCCTACATGGAAGATTAGTCTGTGAGAGAACATTGATTGATCACACAGAAGTGTTTTGAGAAATTGCTTAGATGTTTTCAGAAATACAATTGCTGGGGGTAGGGAGGAAAGTAGAGGTGACACTGGCTAACTGGTGACCAAGTTCCCCTGGTCCTTCCTCCGTATGGCATCTCAGTCAAAAGGTAGGCCTCTGTTTCCTTCACAGGCCTCACTTCCTCCAGGGGGGTCAGTCTATTCATCACTGTGGGCTGTGTCCCCAGGCAGCCTGTCTGCTGTGCTCCACTGCTTGCAAGCTGTCCAGCAGAAGCAGGCAACTCCACCCATAGCCACCTTAGACCCAGTATGGATTAATGGGGTCTTGGTTTCTTCCCTTTCCCAGATTACCTTTCCCCCATCTCATTTGGTTTTTTTCCCCCCCCCATCTCCTTTGTATGTTCTTCCTAGAGGAAAATAACAACACATTGTCAAAAGTTGCTTGGGAGATGAGATTAGAGCCACTAGTGTCTGTAAGGTTTCAGAGGTCTTTTCATCATGCCCACCCTGCCTTTTGTCTGGAATCCTGGAACTCTTTGGGCGAGGGCCTCTTCCTCTGTGTTATTTGTAAATCTCTCTAGGCACTTAGCACACAGGGTGCTTCTCTCCCATCAAGTTGAGAAGACCTCCAGAGGCAGGGACTGTGCCTCTCAGCAGTTCTGTGTCCGCAAGCTAAGCACTCAATAAATGTGTAAGTGAAGAATGAAGTAGAGACAAAAGGGACTTGGAGTGCTTACAGTCCAGGCTCCCTCCCACCTCCAGCCACCACCATTTTACACACTGACAAAGGCAAAGGTCCACAAATTGATCATGCAGAGAAAATGAAAACTGGGGTTCAAACACCATGACTCAGAGCTAGAAGAGCCAGAGCTGCTTCTTCTCCACATTGGTTCAGAGTTGACTGTGTATTAAAAATCAGAATGAGAGAATGCCTAAAAGGCAGACAACCCTGGACAGTGAGGCGAAGCTGGGCCGGGAGCAGCCTGGCTGCCTGTTCTTCTGTGACTGCCACTGTGACCTTGGTGAAGGTACTGTTCTCTCTCATCTCATTTGCCTCATTTAGAAAACGAGTTTCAGCTTGATGATCTCTAAAATCTTTCTTTATTCAGAAGGCTGATGTTCTACAAATGGAAGAAAAATAAAGCTGCTTGTTAGAATAAGAGCAGAGAAAGTCTTTCTTAAGTGTACTAAGAATTCTTATAATAAAACCCACTTCCACTAGGGTCTCGTCATGGGAAGGTGACCTGTGCTTTCCGGCACTCCACCTCCACCTTACTGAGCAGAAGCTGTTGAATGTTTGGCTGTCTCCAGAGCCACAGTACAAACCACAGTCTGTATCACAGTCACACGTAGAGAGTGGCACAATCCTTCTATGGCCATAGAGAGACAGTTCCAAGTAACCACCAGCCATACAAACAGTCCCTCGACCTTTTCTCATCTGTGGGGCCTAATCTCAACCTCAGCCCTGCCCCAGGCATACTCTGAGGCAGCTTCTCCCTGCCCTACGTGGACTGGGCCGTTCTCAGGTGTCACTGGGATTGGAAGGTGACCCACACTGGAGGTAGGAAGGGTGACCCTGAAGTTGACCCTCTGCTTATATTGGGGGTGAGCTATTGCTCAGAAGACCTGAGTTGTCTGACAGAGGTCTTTCCAGAGGAGCAGGGTGACCACACCAATTCATTCTTGGTCAGTGGCAGGCACATTTCACACTGAATTCCACCCTGTGGGGCTGTGTCTAATTGGACAAATTTGAGCAGCAGGCAGCCCAGCCACTGCAGCAGGGAGCATTGATATATGGCCCAAGCCGGAGACTAAAATCTTAAAGTGATAGAGGTTCCTTTTCAAAGAAGGACTGGCTAAATCCAGGAGTACCAAGACTAGCAAGAGAGACCTGGGCTACTCCACAAGCAGGGCCTCTTTTTAGGTTTATTTTTTAAAAGGATCTCCACTTCTGATCTTTGTGGCAAGATGAACAGGATAGGGTGTTCCCTAAGGATTGTCATCTGGGAACCAGTTGTGCTAAATGCTTCTTTCACCCACCAAAAAACTGAAATGTTTGTATCCAGATTAAATCTGCCTAAAATACCCAATAGAAAGCCCTTCACAAGGAAAAGAATGAGAAAGCATGTTGTCATACATTACTGAACACCTACCATTCATTAATTCAACATCCATCAAAGGTCTTTTGAATACTGTAATGAGTACTATTAAATGCAGTTTTCAGACACAATGGAGTTTGAGGAGTTTATGACCTAGGGAGGGGAAGACGATTTCATCAAATAATCCTAAAAATAACTATGATTACAAATTGTATGAAGGAGTAGGAAAGGAAAAGTACTGCGTGGTATGAGAGCATCTGAAAGGGGTATTCAGAGAAAATTTCCCTACGGAAGTAACATTTGAGCAAAGCTCTAATGGGCGGGTTAAGCCAGCAAAGTGGAAGAGGTGAGGGGAGTGGTTAAGAAATTGAAAAGGAGACTGTGTAGCTGGAGCTGAACTGAATGGGGGGAATAACATGAGAAAAAGTAATACGTCCACACAAAAAGAATTTCAGGTCCTTATCCTAAAAGCAATGGGAAACACAGATGTTTTCATCATGGAGTGTTACCATCTTTGAGTTTTCAAAAGATCATTCTGACCAATAAAAGAAAATTTTTAAAAATGATTCTAATAAGTATGACAGCAATCTGGAACAAGGGGTGCATTGCAGGGTGGCTTGGAGGAAGGGGAAAGAAAATGTTCAATAGTGGAAAAAATAATAAATACTATTTTTAAAATAAATTTTTTTAAAAGCTCATTCTTCCTGTAATGGGGAAGCCAGATTACACAAGAACAAACATGAATGTCAGGACCCTTGTTGGGAGACTATTAGTGAAGTCGAGTAGATGATGGGATAGGTTAGGTTGGCATCAGTAACAAGCAGAAGTAGGCAGATCTGAGTGCCATTTAGGAGATGAAATCAACAGGACCTTGTGATGGGAAGAGTATGGGTGGGTAGAAGAGGAGGAGAAAGTGCTCTGTTCTCCACATCATTGTATTGAGTGAACTAATTCGCTGAGAATGCCAGTCATATGGAGACACAGGCTTGGACATGTTGTGGGCCCAGTTGAGATACCAAGATGCTGAGTCAATTGTTGGATCTATAGGTCTTTAGCACACAAGAGCTATTTAGGTTAGGAGTTGGCCTTGGGGTGAGGTGAGGAGAGAGAACTGAGAGATGATAAAAAGATGAATTAGATGCAGTGTCTCCCTTCAAGGAGCACAGAGTCCATTCAGAGAGGCTGCAGAGTCAAGGAGACATGTATAAATTAATATAATAAATGCGACTGTCCATGACTACAGAGAGTAATACCCGTGGAACTGTGTTGAGAGTTACGTGTGTGTGTGTTTTGAGAGGGTGGGACGGTTGGAGAATGAGGCAAAACTAGTCCGAGTCGTCTTCAGGAGGTGAGCAACACACGGTGACTTTTTACTTTGTTTCGCTCATAGGGAAGTTTAAGTGGAATTGCAGCAACTAGTTTTTGAAGTCAGTTTTACAGTAACCATTATATTCTCTTAATAATCCATTCATTTATCTTCTGGAAATGTATCCTCCAAAAAATAACTAAAAATATTAATGTATTGGGAAAGCACTATTATTAAAAAATAAAAATTAGATGTAGGTAACAGTGAAATGTGCAAGGTCTGTATCTTGCAATGGAGAGTTAGCACTGCTAATCCAAAGGCAGAGCCTCTCACCAGTTGAAATCTACCCTTCACTTCTCTGGAGAAAGATGAGAAGTCTCTTCCCATGCAGCTGACAGCCTTAGAATCCCAGGGAAGAGAACCTGTGAACCAGGAGTGACTTTACATGCCATTTCTGTGTCCTTTCAGTCTGATGTGGTTTGTCAGGGTGCATGCAGCACCGAATGCGTACGACTTGTATTCATTGGCCTAAAGTGACTAACTTTGTTCCAGGCAGTGTCTGGGGCCATCAGGAGTTTTGTCTATAATTAAACCCGTGGAGGGCTTAGGTGGTGAACTCCCCCCCTCCCCATGTGTCATCATGTGCTGGTAGGCCTCTTCTGCAAGTTTGGAATAATCTTCTCCATCTGTTCGTCTGGTATGGCGTGTGGGTGCTGACCTCCCATGAGTAGGGTGAGGTTGCCTCAGACAAGTGTAGAGAGCTGCCGCCCAGCCCACCAGGCCCTGGAGCTGGGCCACTGGCCACTTGGCTGGGCAAGGCTGCTCCTTAGAGGTCCGCTCTGGAAAGGCTCTGGGGAGAGGCATGAGAAGAAAGGGTTCTTTAGCAGGAACTACTACCTGGTGACCCAGCAGAGACTAGTCATTGGCACCAGTCTTTCTGAGCATCTTCCGTTCGTAGGACAGTGGCTTAAGGCATGCCCAGCTCCTAACCAAACAGTGTGTGGCTTTCAGGAAAGAAGTCCCCTTATTCCTTCTGCATTACTACTGAAATCCTCTCCTCCTCCTTCTCTGCCTCCAGCATCCTTGAGACCATTTCCTCAGGCTGGAGCCACTGCTCACCCTTTGAGGAATAAGTGGTACACTTGTCACATTTGTGGCTCCAGGTTGGAAAGAGAGGGACAGCAAGCCAATAGAAGAAAAAAACAAAAACAACAAAAAAACCACTCAGATAGAATGTGCTACAGCTTTAGAAAGTTCTTTCAAATTCATTACTTCTACAATCCTCCAAACTACCCTTAAAATATGAAGTATTAAAAAAAATACAAAGTATTGACCCCATTTAAAAGGAGAGGCACTTGGTTCCCAGACATAGTGGCTTACAGATTTCACGTTGCACATTAGGAATAGAAGCAAGACTAGATCTGGGTCTTTTGACTCCAAGTACAGTGGAGTTTTCTAGACTATTGTACTCCACAAACCTGCACCAGAAAGCCTCATGACTCTTCAAGTGCTTTCTCATGGTACATTTTCAGTGGTTCTTCTTCCCCCACCCCATACATTGTGTTTTGTTAAATTAATCACCATTGGACTATCCCCACCATTACTTCGTCTTTTCAGGTCCCCACCAGATTTTTCCCATTTCCTTTACCCTGTCCCTCAACCCACCAAATTGTACAACCTCATCGTTTTCCTCCTACCCATCCTCACCCCTCTGTTCCCACCCCTTCCCCCCTTGGGCCCACACACATGTTATACTAGTTATCCTTTTGATGATCTTATGCAGTATTTGTCCTTATGAGACTTAGTTCACTCAGTATAATGCTCTCCATTCTCTCTCAAGTTATGTTGTATTTTTCAAAATCATTGCTTCTGAGTGCTGCGTAGTATTCCATCATGTGAATGTACCACAATTTCTCAGTCCATATAGTTGTGATTAGACATTTGGGTCATTTCCATATTTTTGCAATGGTGAATAATGCTACTATGAATATTGGTGTACAAATCTCTGTGTCTCAGTTCTAATTTTCTTGGGGTATATTCCTAGTAGAATAGCTGTGTCATGCGGAGTTTCTATGTTCAGCTTTTTGAAGAAATGCTAAACTGCCTTCCAGAGTGGTTGGGTATACCATTTTATAGTCCCACCAAGAGTGTATGATTGTTCTAACATCTACACATCCTCCTCAACATTTATTACTTGCTGTCCTGCTAAACTTTGCAGTGGTTCTTCTTGTCTTTCTGGACAACAAAGTTAAGCCTAACTCTGGATGTTGGTTGGCCTGTGGTTCAGAGGGACAGCCACTGTGAACAGAGAAAATGCAATTCCTGGAAAGGAAGAAGGACCTTCACAGTAAGGTGGCAGTTAACCCCTCAGACCTCATCACCTGCTGCTCTGGGTGCAGCTTTTGTGTCATCTACAGAGGTGTTTGTGCCAGGCAGCTGATCTTTACCTATAATCTTTGGAGGATGCCAGCTTCTTGGCAGGCAGTGTCATCCCAGCCATGACTTCAAGCCATGTTCCAGACAAAAAAAGAACAACCAGGCAGGCCTCTGCCCAGTCATCACCCAGAGGATACCTTCCTCTCATCCTGCCTCTGCCTCCTCCAGCCCAATCTCATGCACTTGC